CCACCTACTGGACAGCACTCTGTGGTCCTCCCAAGGACCACCAAGGTACCTGGCATTCCCAACTCCCAGACAGGTCATTCCAGCTGCTGCTGCCCCCTGCTGGTCTCTGCAGGGCTGGGCTGGCCACAGTGCAGACAGTAGGCCAGACAAACTGACAGACCAGCGCCACATCTGTGCCTCCCCAGTGGGGGTGGGACAGCAGCCCCTGAGCTGCGCAGTGAATTCCAGGCGGGGTGGGAAGTAGGCATGGAGAGCACTTCCCACGGGCTAGAGCTCCTGCGCAGGTCTTCCTGAGCCCGTCCCGAATCCCTTGGTACAACACATCTGGGACGCACAGGGGCCCTGCAGTCCCTGGCCCTGTCCCTTGCCAACACTGAGGATGCTCACACACAGGCTCAACAGCCAGAGACTCTGATGATCTGCAGACGCCAGACACTTCAGCATCATGGTTTTCTCCTCCCATGGCCGGACACGGAGCCCCCAGGAGGCAAGGAAGACCCAGCCGGAGCCACTGCTGACAGCCTCCTCCGCTATCTTGCCACTCCTGGTGGGTTCCCACGGACCCTGCTGGGCTTTCCAGATTTTTGAAGAATTGGATATATGTGAAGCCTCATCTGGATGGAGCCCTCCAGGGTCACAATGTCACCCCACCCTGTCCCCCAACACACAAACTCAGGACAGGACACCGTGGAAGGAGGAGTGTAGCACACACAGGGTTAACATATCTTCCCCCCCTGCCTCTCAGGGTGCCCAGCCTAGGATGTGCCGTCTCCATGGTGACGGCTTCCCTGGGAAGCCGGGAGCAATTTGAAGGCTGAGCGACAGGTGTAGGCAGGCAGAAGGGTTGTCTTAACCCCCTGCTCCCCAGCCAGTCACAGGCTGCTGCCAAGCCTGGCGCAAAGGGTTCCTCTCGGCCAGAGTGCCCCATCCCAGGCCCACAGCCCACATCAGCCCTGTCATTTGCCCTGCAAGCAAGACCCCCAAAGATACAGGTGCCACCCACTCAGCCCAGAGCTCCGGGGTGATGCTCCAGACCCACAGCTCAGGACCAACCCAGGGACCCTCAACAGGCCCCAGGCTCTGCCTCGGTGCTGACAGAGGGAAGCCAGAGCCTCAAGGTTGCTGCCTCGCCTTGGGAGAAGCAGTGCGTGTGCTGACCTCAGAAACCAGAGACTGACAGGGTACTGATGGCCCTGAGAGCCTTGCCCACCACACGAGCTCATTGTAGATGCCTGCCCTAGCCCCTTAGCTGTCCCAAGTCCCTTTGCTGACCCAGCACTTGTGCTCGCCTGCATTGGAGGTGCTGCTCTGGGTTGACCACCTCATCCATTGCTGGCCTCTGCAGACCCAAGCTGTTCAGGAGGCCAGAACTTACTGACACAGCAGGTCTGAAGGGCTGACCCCTAGGCTAGCTAAGTCATGAATCTATAAGGACTACAGGACCAGCTGTGTGCCCCCAGGGCAGGACAGCTCAGGACCCAAGCATCTTGCTGATACCTCTCAGCAAACATCATTTGATGACTCCCACACACCAGGCCCTGCACCCAGCCCCGAGGACACAGAAACAAATAAGATGCCTGCCCTGAGTTCACCCCACCAGGGTCCCCTCAGACTGATGCCCTCAGCCTGGAATGGCTTGCAAGAGCTTTACCCAAGTCCTACAGAACTCAGATGAGTACTGACATCACAGCTGACCACCATCTAGATTGTGCACTAGGCCAAGAGGAGGGCAGGCAGCCAAAAGCCCTGTGGCCTTAGCCGATAGCTCCTGATGGGACATTATGTGCTGGAGGAAAGAAGGCTGGACCAACCATGGCTGCCCACACAAAAACTGGAGAGGGGTCATTCCAGGCAGGACACGAATCCAACCACTGGAGCAGAGAGGCCCCAAGATTCTACCAGCAAAAGCTGCCTGGGTCAGGCCCCCGGTGCACTCGAGCCATGTGGTCCTCCTCGGAGTGCCCTGACCACCCAGCCATCTGCTTCCTAAATCCCACTGTGGGCTGGTCAGCTTGCCTTTCAGCCAGTGATGCTACTCAGGACCTCAGGAATGACACCATGCAAGAGCCCGGGAGGACCTGGAAACTCATGCCTCAGTTTCCACATTTAAAGTGGGCGATGCTGGCCATTCCACAGGACAGGTGGACATCTTCTACAAGATGACAAGACACAAGCCGGGGCTCCCGAGGTCTGCTGCCTAGGTCATGCAGAATGAGCTTCCCTGTGTGACAGATCCCTGCCCTGCAAGCTCTGGGTCTCTTCACTCCCTTGCCTGTCCCTCAGCCTCAGGTGGTCACCCCACCTCTCTGAAATCACCCATTGCTGTGGCCACAAAGCTGAGTCCTGTCTAGAGACCTACTCTCCTGTCAGCCCTGGCCAGACCATGAGCACCCTGGGGCCAATCCTCCTGCAGAGGCCCAAAAGGCTGGAAGGATGTGCTTGAGCAGTGGCTGACCCCCTATGGCCTGTACCCTCCACCTCCAGAGGCCCAGGCAGGAGGGACCCCAGGACCTGGGGCATCCCCTCCTCTGACTATTCCCATGTCCCCTCTTCAGCGCCAGCTCCTGTCCAGAGACGTTTCTACCCCCTAGACCTGCAGAAGGCTGACAGGGTAAGGCTTGATTTGGTGATGTGGGTGAAGGTGACATCTCAAACATCTCCTCAGGACCCTAGCCATTGAGGAATTGAGAGAAACGGAGACCTGCCAGGCTCACAGCCCAGAGTTTGGGGCCCCAAACCCTCAGCACTTGGAGGCCTCCCCAACTGACACCTGGCTTCCTGCAGGCCTTGTGTGCAGACTCTTAGTGGAGTGAACTGTGTCTCCAGAAAGCTATGTCCAAGTCCTGGCCCCAGGTACATGGACTACTTGGAAATAGGGTCTTTAAAAGTGTCATTTAGTTGAGGATTGAGAATGAGATCATCCTGGGTACTAAATCCAGTGACCATGTCCTCATGAGAAGAAGGGAAGACCAAGAAATGGAGAGAAAGCCATGTGAAGACAGAGGCGGAAAGGAGCGACAGCCCCAAGCCAAGGAACAAGGAGGGCTGCTGAGCAGCCGAAGCTGGAAGGCACTTAGGAAGGACACTCCTAAGGAAAGGGGCCCTGCAGACACTTTGATTCTGGACATCCAGCCTCCAGACCCGGGAGAGAGGAAGGGCCTGAAGCCCCCAGTTTGTGGTGCTTGGTTACAGCGGCTCCAGGACATTCCCACACCTGGGGTCCTAGGACTTGCACCCCTCCTCCAGGTCCTGCAACCCCACCCAGGCACAGCCTGCTGGCCCTCTCTGCCCCAGGAGCCCCCTTCATCCTCTCTCTGCCTCTCTGTCTGACAGCTCTCAGGGTGGGCAGCAGGAGTCCTGCTGGCCCCACTCCTGCCCACCCCCACATCCTCAGAGTCCTTGCCCATCTCCCACCTCCCTGCAGAGGGAGAAGCCACTAAAACCTGCCAACAAGTGACAGATGGGGGCAGGGCAAAGTTTGAAGGCCTGGATCTCACTGTCCCTCACACACAGGTGCCCTGGCTCCTCCCAGGCCCAGCAGGCCTCAAGTGGGTGGGGGTTAATAAGATGCCACTGGTTGAGGAACCCACCCAGCCCCGGTGAACCTCCTCCCCCAGCTCCAGGGTAGTGCCAGGGCAGGATAGGGTGACGAGGACAATGGCAGCCCAGGAAGGGAGGTAGTGGAACCAGGAAGCAGGGCCTTCCCTCATTGCCCTGCCCCCAGCCAAGGTTGTGCCTGCCCAGGATTCCCCCAGACATGCTTCTGTCCCAGGATGATGGGGAGTACTGGAGGGCACCCCCACTCTCCTGGCCACCAAGGCCTGGGCCCTTCCCCCGTTCAGGAGAGAGCAGAGCAAAGCACAGGCACAGAATCTGGCTGGGAGCTGTCCCCAGTTCTGGAGAGTGGGAGCCTGGCTGCGCCAGCAGAGGAAAGCCTGGAAGGGCCTGGCCAGCTCGGCCATGACTGTGCAACATCTGCACCACAAGGGGGGGTCGATGCCCGGAAGCTCGTGGGGAGGGGAAGGAGGCACTGGCCTTGTACCGATGATCATCATGGCCCCTGTGTTTGCGTGCGTAGGTGGTGCGGGCCCAGTGTTGACACCTGCAGATCTCTCGGCTGCGGGAACCCTGGAAGTGCTCGTGCTCCTGAGGGTAGGAGGGCCTGGGACGCTGAGGGCACGGAAGGGGCACCTGCGCGGCCTGAGGGCTGCGTCTGTTGGGGCCCGAGCGCCCCCACTTACCCCTCGTGTCCCTTGCACAGGAAGAAGAGCGTGCGCCAGGCGTGCGCGGCGGCCAGCAGCAGCGAGAGGAGGCTGGCGAGCAGGCTGAAGCGGCAGGCGGCCGGCGGGCCCCACTCCTGCACGGTGAAGCGCTCGCGCTCCTGCACCGTCAGGTTGGCGCTCAGCCACATGCCTTCGGTGAAGAGCAGGCAGCGGCCGCGGAAGTCGTGGCCATTCTCGGACAGCGGCACCACCACCACGAAGCTGAACAGGAAGGCCAGGAAGTAGCAGACGCACTGAGCGAAGAGGAAATTGTTGAGCGCCATGGCCGGGCGCGGGTGAGAGGTGGCGGGAGGAGGCCGCAGGCCCGGGAGTCTGCGGGCGCCGGCCCGAGGGGCGCTCGGCGGGGCCGGGAGCCGGGCAGCGAGAGTCTCCGGGCGCAGCGCGCAGGCCGGACCGCGCGGGAGGCTGCGCAGTGGCGGCGCTGCCGATTCCCGCGCGCCCCGCCCGGACGCGTGCGCATCGGCCAAACACCGGGCGCGCCCGCGGTCAGCACCGCGGACAGCTCCAGGCGCGCGCACAGGGGAAGGAGCAGGAGGTTAGGTGGGTTAGGTGAGGGCCACGCTGGACCAGGCCAAGCTACATGGATGGAGATGCTGCACGGAAACCAGGGGAGGGAGCGGGAGTATAGCCAGTCAGCTTATGGAGACCAGATTCTGCCAGTAGATGTGCCATGAGCAACATTTGTGAGCGCTAAGGAAAGGAGGTGGGGGGTAAGTTTGAAGTCTGAGCTAGAGTGAGGATCCATTTGCAAGGATCCCGGAGCGCAGGAAGCCTGGGGTGGGGGAGGGGCGCGGAGCGGAGGAGCTGGGTTAACAGAGAATGGGACGGAGGTCACCCTCGGGGAGAGGGGAGGGCCCTGCTGCCAGCCCGGAGTGTGTGCTGTTTGTGATCTCAGCACCCAGCCCTCAGCCTGACACAGCAGGGCCTGGAGCTGTTTATAAGATAAATAATGGATGCCCCAGGCACCTCATTAAGACATCTTTGCTGAGGTGGATTCCACTGATGCATTAATTAATAGAATTAATGCCTTTTCTAGTTTCCCTGAAGACTAAGTCACATTTAGTCCCATTCCCAGAGTGAAGAAGCCCCACACTTTTGTTGCAAGCACTAAAACTCTTTTATTGCCAAAGTAATATATGCTTGTTTCTAAATCCCAGCTGTATAGATACGTATCACGGAAAAGGTGAAATTCTCCTCTCCCCACCCCCCACACCAGGGTGACCACCTAGCATCCACACTTGCAGACACCTTGCACTTTACCACACACACCTTCCACAGCAACCTTCATGCTGTACCTGTGTTCTGCAAGTCCTTTCACTCAGCAATATGGACGGTTTCCTGCCTGCAAATACAGGTCTATTTTATTCTTCTTAATAACAGCATAACACTCCACAATAATGATGACCCAACAATGTGCATAACTATTCCTCTTTGGGTGGACACTTGCCCTTGAATCAGAGACCATCCTCAGTCCCCTGGCACCCAGCATCTGTCATCCAGTCCATTCCGTGCTCCTGCACTTCCTGCTCTGCCCCCGCCCCTCAGGCTCCTGAGGTGAGTGCCACCTAGGGCGCTTCCTTCCCTTGACATGGTACTCAGGTGCCCCAAGGGAGGGACGATCATTCTGTGCCAACCACCAGCAAGGTGGCCCCGATACTTACCTGCCCTGGTCCAGCCCCTAATCTCCTACCCAGTGTCTTGAAGCCCAGTGTGTGTCTCCCAGAAAACCTGACCTGGGCTGGTGCTGAGGAACAGACACGAATGTGGGGGTCCTCTGGGAACAACACCTAGGAGCCACCAAGAGCAGCAGGACTGGCCAGGGAGAAGTGCCCAGTGACTCAGGCAGGTAAGGACAGTCCCACAGGAATGGTCCTTCAGAATCACCCCACACTGGGTAGGGGCTAGACTTCTGCACCCCCAAATCGACCAGGGGCTGGATGGGGGCTGCTCCCACTGCTTCACTCCGGCACTGGTTCACAGCTCATGGCCCAGGAACGGTGTCACAGTGTGGACCTGCAAGTCTCCCAGAGGCTCCTGTGTTGAAAGCCTGGCCCCCAGTGCAGCAGTGTCCAGAGAAGGAGCTTTTAGGAAATGGATCCTGAGGCTCCAAGCTCATGCATGGGTTAATCCTTTGTGGCTGAATGGATTATGGGGAGGGAAGGAAACTAGAGTGTGGGACATGGTTGGAAGAAGTGGGTCACTGGGAGTGAGTCTGGAAGGGTGTTCCTGTCCCTGACCTCCATCTCTCTCTCAGCTTCCCCGCCCCACCCTCTCCCTCCCACCAGGATGTCCTGCCTCACCTCAGCCCCAGAGCAATGCAGCCAACCAACCATGGACTGAATCCTCTGAAGCTGTGAGCCACAGTAAATCTTCCCTCTTCTAAGTGGTTCTTGTCGGATGTTTTAACCACAGCATCAAAAGCTGACTAACACAAACAGCCTCACAGACACACACAGAATTACGTTAGATGAAAACCGGCCCAGGCAGGTGGGCACACACTCAGGCCAAGGCAGAGCAAACCCGCTGTGTTCCCATGGCCAGAACCGAGAGTGAAAGACAACAACAATTGAGGAAGAAAACCTAAGGCTATTTTTTCACAATCGGAGGTGAAGGAATCACTTCTCAGCAGGACAGAAAATCCCGTGACAATAGAGACAAGGCAGGGCTGGGGATGTGGCTCAAGCGGTAGCGCGCTCGCCTGGCATGCTTGTGGCCCAGGCTCGATCCTCAGCACCACATACAAAGATGTTGTGTCCGCCGAGAACTAAGAAATAAATATTAAAATTCTCTCTCTTTAAAAAAAATATAAAGACAGAAAGTCGAAACCATGTAAAATTTCAAATCCTTTGTGGCGAAATAAAGTGTATTATCATCAAAGTCAAGAGGGAAACAGAAGAGTGAAAGAGAACATGGGCAGAAACGTCACCAGGCCGGTGAGGTTTCACTGCACACCCCCGACTTACGGGCAGGTTGGTAAGATAAAGGACAGGTCAGTCACAGAAGTGGGACTGAGCACAAATGTAACCCTGTGCTGCTCTGGGAAGACGCAAACAGACAGAAACAAGCCCACGGCCATATCCGGCTGACTCTGCGAGGCTGAGCCTTGGCCTGGCCATGGGGGCTGTGCTGCTCCAGGAGAGACCCTGGCAGCACTTGTGGGAGCCACAGCCGGCACCTCTCCTTGGCCCTGGCTCTGCCACCTCTACAAAGCCACAGCTCCCAGGGGAAGGTCTGTTCATAAGGACACGCGCACGTGCATGTTGGTCCTGCTACTTGTTCCAGCCAAGAGCAAAAGCAGCCAGGACGCTGGCACACCAGGCAGAGGCTGGAGCCTGGTCACTTTTATGATGCAGAGCCACGCGCCAGTGAGCCGGAGCCAGAACTGCGGGCTTGGCTGGAAGGAGTGTCTGCTTGGACCAAGCCCTGTGTGTGCACTCGTGTCGGGGATGCCGTGTGTGAGCGGGGTGGGTGTCTGACTCCATGCATCTAGCTGCACTCCCTCCCTGCCTGGCAAGGCACCAAGCCACCCACGCCCAGGTCAGTGTGGTCCACGGACCCACAGGTGAGCCTCGGGGCTGGCTTTTAAGAGACCAGCCTGGAAGCTAGAGGTGGCAGTCACCTGTGTTTCTGTCACCTGCTTTGGGGGCCGGACTGTCCCTCCTCCTCTGGGTTGGTGGGGCAGAGGGGAGGCTGGGAGTTCCCTGTGGTCCCCAAAGTGGCGAGGCTTCCACTTGGGAGGCTCACCTTGGGGCAGGGCTATACCTGAGTGTCCCCATCCTTGCTTCTGGGTGAGGACCTCTCCCAGGGGGCAACTGTGAGCCCTGCTCCAGAGGGCCCAGGGAAGAGGGAGCCCAGCCCTCTCCAAAGGCAGTGGGGGTCGGGGACAGGACCCAGAGCTGTTGCCCCCTATGAGTAAGGGCCTGGCAGCTCTTTGAAGAGGCACTGAGCAGAGCACCTGGGGAGTGGGGAAGGAGGACAGGGCAGTGGAGGGACAGTGAACCCTCAGCTGGGAAAGCCACGAGAACCTCCAGAGGCCAAGCAGCAACCTCAGGGCTGCCCAGAGGGGCTGAGGCCCAGGCACCCCACAAGTTGACCCCTGCACTCCTCCCTGTGGCCCCAGGCTCCTGTGCCCAAGGGGCCTCTGCTTCCACGGGGACCCACAGAGGGGCCGAGGGCAGACGGAATGTCGGAGGCCCTGAGCAGGTCATCTGAACTGTCGAGTTGACTGGACCACGAGGCTTCTGGGTGTGAGTGAGGGTGTCGAGGAATGCCTGGCGCGGGGGGCAGCGAGGGAAGAGGAGACCCTTCTAAGCGTGGGCAGCACCTTCCAGTAGGCCGGAGGCATGGATGGAATGAAAGTTGGAGAGCAGGGAGCCGCAGCAGAGGCAAGCTCGGTTCTCCTTACAGGTTCTTGACTGCGGCTGCCACCGCCTGAGGATACCGGACTCTGACTTCTTCACTCTCCTGAGGCGAGAGTCACTCTGCAGCGATTCTCCAGGGAGCTCCCAGAGGCCTTGGGACTCAGAGGAGGCTCGCACCCTTGATCCCTCTGGTTCTGAGGCTTCAGCGTCTTGGGCTGAGCAGCTGCTGTTCCTCCAGCTCTACAGCCCCCGGATGATAACCTGGGCGCTGTCCAGCCTCTGGTTACGAAGCCAACCCAGTAAATCCCCTTGATCACCATGCTGCCTGTTGATTCGGTTCCTGTAGAGAACGCTGACCAATACAGTCCCCCCAGCCCTCATTCTGCTGGACCCCAGAGCTCTGGGGGAGGACAGGCACCCCTCTGTGGGGCTCCCTGGCCTCCTGTCTGCTGCGCCCCCACCTTTGCTGGCTCCTCTGGCTCCTGCCCATGCCACTCCACAGCAGGGCCTGCCTGTCCTTTCCACACTGTGACCCTTGTCCCTTACCTGCAGGTGGCTGGCATCCCGTAATCCACTCTCCACCACAGTCTCTGCCCTCCTCCAGGCTCCCTCCAGGGCTAGAAGCCAAATCAGGCCAGGCCACACGCCTGCCTAGTCCCCGCTAACAAGGGCACAGCAATGAAGCCCCAGTGGCTGATGGGCACCTGCCAAGCAGCAGTAACTGTGCCCTGCTCACCACCCAGGGCTTGTGGGCAGGTCAGGGACCCTGCCTCATTCTCCCCTCCTCCCTCCATGGACAGAGGCTACCTGCTCTGCCACACGGGTCCAAGAGGACACAGCAGCACTCCCTCCAGGCACCATGCCCGTGGATGGAGGACAGACACGCAGAGGCCAGGTGGCAGGGGTGCCAGGGGGGGAGGACGCTGCCAACCTGACGGGTCCAGGAGGACCTGGAGAGCTGGAGGGGGCGAGGGACACTAGCAAAGGGACAGGATACCCTGAGGGACTTCAAGTCGGCTGGATAGAGAGAGAAGACTTGGGAAAGAGCCTCCTCCTGGGGCACTCCCCGGCCCACCGTGTCCCTGCGTGGGGCTGTGGCGTGGGGCTGTGGCTGTGGCCGGCCCCAGGGCTATGCAGGGAGGTGGCAGGGGGGGGGGCGGCAGACTTGGCCTGCGAGGAGGCCTCCAGCCCAGGGAGGGGCTGGCAGGGAGGAATCCAGGCTGAGGGAGGCCAGCGTGAGAAGTGGCCCAGGAACAAACAGAAGGTCCAGAGCCACCTCTTCATTCTGAGGGTGGACACAGGGAAGGTGACACAGAGAGAAGAGCCCTCTCTTCTCAAGACAGCTTGAGGTCCACAGTTCCTTCTCCCTCTGCCCGCTGTGCTCCACCTGAGACCCGCAGGGCAGTTCTCCCTGGACCCTAGGAGAGAGATGAGCACTCCCCGAAAGAATGGCCAAATGGGAGCTGCCCAGAGGCGTAAGGGGTAGAGGGCGGCAGGGCAGATGGGGAACGAGTGGTCAGATTAGTGGACTGGTGCATCATTGGGGGCGCTAAATGAATGAGGGTGGGTGAGTGGATGGGTGAGTGGATGGGTGGGTTGGTGAGTGGGTGGATGAGCAGATGGGTGGGTGGATGGGTGAGTGGGTGGGTGGGCAGATGGATGCGTTGGTGAGGGTGTGGGTGAGTGAATGGGTGGGCATGGGTGAGAGGGAGAGTAGATGGATGGATTGATGAATGGGAGGAAGATGAGGGTTAATAAACGCATTGACAGAGAGGCCAGGGTGGAGGGATGGGTGGATGTGTAAGTGGGTAGGTAGGTGGATCACTAGGTGGGAGGGGAGGGATAGAGAATGGTTAGCAAGTCCTGGAGCCACACTTCGGAAAGCACCCCAGGCTGACTCTGGTGGAGTCTCATGGGATGTGATCAAGTTTACCATCTGGGGGTGAGGGCTTCAGTACTGCAGGCTCAGAACACAGGCTCATGGTTCCAAGATGACACAGCAGCACTCCCTAAGCTGATTCAGAGTCTGATAGAGAAATCCCAAGGGTCAGTGTACTGATTGACCCTGGGAGATGACGGTCAGCAGGACCAGAACAGCCATCCATACCCCACCTGTGAGTGCATCTGCTTCTGATCAGCAGTGCCCGGGGAGGCACCATGGAGAGCGGATCATGGAGCATAGATGAGAGGCTTACTGGAGAGGAGAGTCAGCAAAGGACGGAGGTCATCGCATGACGAGGAGCTCAGCCTAAGTGGAGATGGCACCTGCATCTCCAACAGTGTCCCCCTGCCCAGCCGACTGGGAGCACTTGAGATCCAAAAGGAGCTGGGGGACTCTGTCCCTGGGCAGTCCTGGGAAGGACATGGCCAATACTGGGTTCTAGGCCATGGACTGCTGTTTCGATTAATACACCATTTCTCTTGAGTGTACTTTGTTTCTTTTCTAGCGTTTCAAGACAATGGGTTCAATCCCCAACATCAAAAAGGAAAAAATCTTAACCTACTATTTTTCAATTTTAATAAATAAAATAGGGCTATATATTTACCTCTTAGTAACACGTTGGCCATATCTGATAGGTTTATTTTGTTTGTCTTGTTTTTTGGTACTAGGGACTGAACACACAGACACTTAACCACTGAGCCACATCCCCAGCCTTTTATATTTAATTTAGAGAAAGAGTCTCCCTGAGTTGCACAGGGCCTCACTAAGTTGCTGAGGCTGGCTTTGAACATGTGATCCTGCTTCAACCCTCCCAAGCTGCTGGGGTGACAGGCATGTGCCACTGTGCCTGTGTATCTGATAGGTTTTGATGTGAAATATTCTCATAGTCATCAGTTACGAATGGTTTACAATTTCTATTTTTGTCTGTCTTCAATACCTGCTGAAATTAACAGTGCATTTCCAGATACACACAATTTGAAAGACTTTCTTTTTGTTGTTGATTTCTATTTTATTGCATGTGATTGTTGAATTTATCCTGCACAAATCATTTTTTAACTTGCTGAAATCTTGTCACCTAATACAGTGTTTGAATGTTCTTTCTGTGTTAAAAAATATATTCTGTTTCTTGGCCATAAATTCCTATATGTCTATCAGGTCAAGCTCTAGTTGCATTACTGAAATCTTGGGTAGACTTATTTATAGCCTTTTCAATTCTTCAGTGTCCAGGGAAGGTCTCTCACTATGAATGGCAATTCACAAATCACTCTTTGCTTTATATATTTTCATTGCACATCTCAGTTTATGACTCTCATGTATTCTTTGTGAGTTGCTCCATTTGTCTATATGAAATATCGCCCTTTTCTCCATTAAATATTTTGCCTCAGATTGCATTTTATATCATGTAAATATTGCTGGGACTGCTTGATTTTTGTAAGCCTTTTTAAAAACTGTTCATCTCTTTATGTTCTAATCTCCTAGTTTACTTTTAGACATGTGTATATTTTTTGTAACATTTTATTTAGAATTTATTTGTCCTGATTAAATCCAAGAGTCTCCATCTTTTGACACATTTATTTAAACCATTGACATTTATTGTGGTTTCCAATAACATTAAACAGACTATTTTCTGTTTTGCTTTTCCCTTTTCTTGCCCTACTTTAGAGAAAAAGGTTTATTTTATTCTGTATTTTATTTTTATTAACCGGCTTTGACATTTTTTACATTGTTTCCAATTTACTCTTCATTACATGTGGATTTTCGAGAATTAGGATCTGGATAATGTAATGTCCATATAAGACAAGGCCCTCCACACAATTCTCCTTCGCTCTATTCCCCGCGGCTCCCTCCAACGCCCCGTGCTCCTCCTATGTGGACTTTCAGTTCTAAAGTGTTCACTCTTTTAAGAATTAACATGTGGTTGAACTTACTAACACTCTTGTACTTCCCCTCCTCACCTGTGAAATGGGAACAGCTCCTGACCCACAGCATTAATATGAAGATACCCTAGTCCGTCTTCTGCTGCTGTAACAGAATACCCCAAACTGGGTAATTTGTAAAGAAAAGAAATTTCTTCTCAGCATTCTGGAGCCTGGGGGTGCATGGGTGAAGGGGCTGTGCCTGGTGAGGGCTGCATGGTGACATGGCCGAGGGCATCCCGTGTTGAGAGTGGCAAGGTCAAGAGACAGAGACAGTAACTAACCCACTCCTGAACAACAGCGTTCATCCATCCACGAGGTGGAGCCTGTGACCTAATGACCTCTTAAAGATCCTGCCTCCTGACCCCTGCACGGTGGCAGTTACACTTCAGCATGAGTTTTGGAGGGACAGTATGACCCTAGCCGAGGACAACCCTAGATAGTCCATGATAGTCCAGCAGTGCCCAGAGGGTGACACCGTAACGGCCCCTGTCCCTGCGTCTGTGTACCTCCAGGCCCTGGGAGCCCTCCTGAGCCGGGCACCTTTGTTCCCTATCTGCACACAAACAGTGGGTGTCAGGACGCCTCCTCAGCAAGGGGAAGCCCTGTGTCTCGCCTCCTCACTTCTGGTGACTGCTGAGAATCCAGGTGTCACCTACCCGCTCCTTCAGGACAAGCTGGGTCCCCACCCCTCCGCAGCCTTGGAGTCGATGCTCCACATCACATTTGGTCACCCAGGTCCAGTGCTGGGGCTTCTCACTCACGTGTTTGTCCTGCTTGGTGCTTGGTGGGCTTTTTCCGTGAAGCTGGTGCATGAATTTAGCTCTGGAAAAGTCCACCAGGAGCGGCATGGACAGCGGCCCCGTCCACCTTCGCCTTTCGCCCGGGGGAGTCCTGTTGGATGCAGCCTGGAGCTCCAGGCTCTGCCCTCCACGTCTCAGCGGGCCGCAGTCGCTTCCCAACTCTGTCCTTTGTGCTACCTCTACCTGAAGCCTGGCCACCTTGCCCGCCGGAGGTCCACTGCAGCTCTGCCCATCTGTGGAGGTCATCTGGTTCTGTCCTTGATTTTTTTTTTTAACTCCAAGACCTCTCTCCTGTTCTCTGAAGCACCCGAGGCCTGTGTCCCTCTGGGCCACCAGTCATGCTGGCTTTCCCTTCTTGCAGGCTCTGTGGTGCTGTGCCTCTCGCACCCCTTCCACAGTGCGACTCTCCCTGGAAGCTGGGCTGCTCCCCTGTGCAGTCACCCTCACATGCAGAGTTCCCAGTAGGTCACCTGCTATAGTCTCTGCCACCCCCTCAGGGGGTGAAAACACTCTCCATTATCGGAAAGAACCCAGCAGGGCAGGCCACGTCTGCTGGGACATTTGTCATGTGCTGGGACAGCATGCTCCACATTTCTCCTAGGGATACCAGATGTGGACGGTCCTGACTCTTTGAATCAACAGCCCTCACTGCCGCCCA